AGTAGCCGGAATTACAGGCATGCACCACCACACCCAGCTGATTTTTTGATTTATTGTAGAGATGAGGTCTCACTGCCCAGGCGGGTCTCGAACCCGCGGGCTCAGGCAATTCACTCACCTCAGCCTCCCAAAGGCGCGGGATTACAGGCTGAGCCACCGAGCCCGGCTCGAGTTGTTTTTTTTTTAAAGAAAATTTTGATGAACTACTCAGAAAATCTCCTTAATATTCAGATCATAAGTTGGCCAAATAGTGGCATTTCCAACATCGGACAAAGACTAGACAAAGACTATTTTTTTTTCCTCATCAAGAGTTCTAGAGAGACAAAGACATTAAGTTAGCTATTTAAAATATGTTAAAAGAACAAACAGGAGCCATGTCTAGAGAACTAAAAGTACATATAAGAATATCTCATTATTATTATATTATCTTATGAAGAATATCAATAAAGAGATAATTATTTTTTTAAAAAGTACCAATCAAAATTCAAGAGTAGGAAGTACAATAACTGAAATAAAAAATTCACTAAATGGACTCAATGGTAGATTTTATCAGAAAGAAGAATCAGTGAAATTGAAAATAAGGCAATAGGATTATACAGCCTGAGGAACAGAAAGAAAAAAATGAACAGAGTCTAAAGGACCAGTGGAAACACCATCCAGCAGACCAATATACACATTGGGGAAGTTCCAGAGGATAAAAGAGAGAAAAGGGGGCAGAGAGGTTATTTGAAGAAATAATGGCCAAATGTTTTCCAGATCTAATAGAAGACATGAATCTAAAATCCAAGGAGCTCAACTTCAAGTGGAATAAACTAAAAGAGGTCCACACCAAGACATATTATAATCAAACTATGGACAGCTAAATAGAAAGAATCTCTAAAGCAGTGAGAAGTAATTTGTCACATACGAAATATTCTCAATAAGACTGTCAGCAGATTTCTCATCAGAAATCTTGGAGACTTGAAGGCAGTGGATTAATATATTCAAAGTGCTGAAGAAAAATTCTTTCCCCAGATAATTCTATATCCAGAAAAACTGTCCTTCAAAAATGAAGGAAAAATTAAGACATTTCCAGATAAACAAAAGCTGAGGGAGTTTGTTGCCACTAGGTCTGCTGTGCAAGAAATGATAAATGGATTTCTTCAGATTAAAGTAAAAGAACACTAGACAGTAACTCAGAGCCTTAAGAATACATAAAAATCTTTAGTAAAGATAAATACGTGAGCAATTATAAAAGCTAGTGTTTGTAATTTTGGTTTCTAACTTCACTTTTTATTTTCTATGTAATTTTAAGCATACATGAATAAAAACAAGTACTAATTTATGTTATTGAACACCCAAAATATAAAACTGTAATTTATTATATCAGTAACAGAAGGGGGAAAGAGCTCTATAGCAACAGAATCTCTGTGTGTTACTGAAGTTAAGTTAGTATAAATTTGAATTAGATTATTATAACTTTAAAATGTTATGTATACTATAGAATACGCACCAAAAATGATAAGAAAATCAAAATAAACTAAGCACAAAAGAAGGCAGTAATGTAGGAAATGAGGAACAAGAAATCTATAAGCCATATAGAAAGCAAATAGCAAAATGGTTACAGTTTCTCCTTATCACTAATTACCTTAAGTATAAATTTATTAAATTATCCAATCAAAAGAATTGCCAGAATAGATTTTTTAAAAAATTATCTAATTGCATGCCATCTATAAGAAGCTCACTGAATTAGAACTCTTGAACAATACAATAAAACTACCAGACCAAAAAAAGACATATGTATTAAACACTGTACCCAACAACAGCAGAATACACATTCTTTGCAAGTGTACATGAGACTTCTCCATATGTCAAGACCACATGTTAGGTCAGAAAATATGACTCAATTGATTTTAAAAGACAGGAATCATGCAAAGCGTCTTCTCTGACAACAGGATAAAGTTAGAGATCAATAACAGAAGGCAAACTGGAAAATTCATAAATGTGAAAATTAAACAGCATAAACTTAAACAACCAGTGGGTGAAAAAAGAAATCACAAGAGAAATGAGAAAATACTTAAGGTCAGATGATAACAAAAACACAACATACTAAAACTTATGGGATACAGTGAAAGCAGTCCTCAGAGGGAAATTTATGACTGTTAATGCCCACAGCAAAAAGGAGGAAAGATCTCAAATCAATAACGTAACTTTATACCTTTAAAAAATAGGAAAAGAAGGGTAAACTAAACTCAAAAGTAGCAGAAAGAAGTAAATAAAGATGGATGGAGATAATCAATCTTGAAAAAATAGAATGTTGGAAAACACACTTTCCAACTATGAAACTTTCTACAAGACTATAGTAATTAAAACAATGTGGTACTGGCATAAGGGAAGACATATAGACCAATTGAATAGAATTTAGAGAGTCCAGAAACAAGACCTCAGATATTATCAATTAATTTTTAACAAGGATGAGAAGATTACTCAATGAGTAAAAGACAATTTTTTTCAACAAATGGTACCAGGGAAACTGAATGTCCACATACACAAGCATTAAATTGGAGCCTTGCTTTATACTATATACAAAAAGAAACTCAATGTGGATGAAAGACTTAAATATAACAGTTAAAAATATAAAATTATTAGAAGAAAACTTTGGAGAAACTCTTCATGACATTGGATTTGGCAACAACTTTGTGAATGTGACACCAAAATCACAGGAACAAAAGAAAAAATAAACTGAACTTTTATCAAAGTTAAGAATATTTATGCATCAAAAGATTCATTAAGAAAATAAAAAAGCAACCTACAGAATGGGGGAAAGCATTTGCAAATCATATATTTGATAGGGGATTTATATCCAGAGTATAAAAGAACTCCTACAACTCAACAACAAAAAACAAGCAACCAATTCAAAAGCAGACAAA